CATCAGCCATGCATATAACTATATTCTTGATATGTTTAGTTTGCATTTTATCTTCTCTTTCAAGGACTATGAGTAACAGGAGTTCTAGTTTTAAAGTCTTTCCTCTTTCTCGAAAACCCTCTAGCTGCTGGCACTGCTGCCCCAGGGCCAAAGGCACAAGGCTGTTGCACGATGGCAACCAGCTCCTCAGACACACTGGTCCCAGCCTTGTTGCCCACATCTTTCCAGTCAGAGCCACCATACTACAGTGTCCCTTTCCCTTCTCATGGCTCAAGTTAAGGCCAAGTTTTGTTACTAGCAGCAAACCCACTCAACCATACAGAAGCCCATTTAGGATCAGCTCACTAGAGCTGCACCCTGTTCCTCTCCAGGGGATAGCAGCAGAGCTCAAGCAACACTGAAGGACCTTTTCCCCCACCCCGGCTTATAGAATCACAGGATAGTTTGAGTTGAAAGGGGTCTTAAAAAGCATCTAGTTCCAACCCTCAATGTTCAAACTCTGCTGAGCTCCCTGCTATTTTCAGACTTGACCTAAGCAAGTTTTCCAAGGGATCCAGACATGACTAGATGAAGTAGTACTGACATGTACAAAAAATCTGGATGAGAGTTCCAGGTAACATCAGGAGACATTAAAGCAAGCAGCACTAGAGAAGCAGAACCACCTCCAGCCAAATGGCTGTACCAGTGGGTGCCCAGGGTAGGGGGGGTCCTACCTGGATCCCATCTAGTGTGCCCTGCCCTGCAACTCCCCAGGCTGTGCAAGGGGAGCTGCTTTCCCACTTTTCCCATTTTAAAAAAAGGGATTTCAGGGCTTTGGAAAGGCTCACCTGCCACACCACGAGACTGCCTGCTGAAAATAAAATGTATTTATTTCAACAAGCTGTGGAAAATGTATTATGGATGATTAGACCCGTATGAAACAGGGACCAGGAAAATTCGTGAGGTAAGAAGATTTCAGTGTTAAATAAAGGTGAATGTGCCTTGTACTAGCTGTAGATTGTTTGCCTTAAAGTTATCCCTTTTATGGTAAGCTACTTCCAGAGTAAAATGAAAATGCTATGTTTATAAATAAATGTGTCTATATAAACAAAAAATAAGTCTTGTTACAAAAAATTTTGTATCAACAAAAAATTTGTCTTGTTACAAAGACAAACAGGGTTGCAGCATTGGTGGATAGGGGAAGAGTGTTTGACACTATCTACTTTGCTTATGGAAAGCATGTGAAGTTGTACAGCATGACATCCTTATTTCTAAACTGGAGAGACATGAATTTGGTGGATGGACTGCTCCAATGGATAAGGATCTGGCTGGATGGTGACACTCAAAGAATTGGGGTCAATGACTCAATGTCCAAATAGAGACCAGCGATGAACAGCGTTCTTCAGGGGCTGGTATTGGGACTGGACTGTTTAACATCTTTGTTGGCAATGTGGACAGTGGGATTGGGTGCAGCCTCAGTCAGTTTGCTGATAACACCAGATCTCTGGTGCTGTCAGGATGCTGCAGGGAAGGGATTCCATCCAGAGGGTCTTGCCAGGCTGGAGTGGTGACCCTATGTGTACCTCATGAAGGTACACATATCAACAAGGCCAAGTGCAACATCAACCTGTGAGTTGGGACAATCCCAAGCACAAACAAGGGCTGGGCAAAAAATGGTCTGAGAGCAGCCGTGCAGGGAAGGACTTGCGGGGGTTGTCTGACAAGAAGCTCAACGTGAGTTGGCAGTGAGGACTCACAGCCTAGAATGACAAACGTGTCCTAGGCTGCATCACAAGCAGCATGGCCAGCAGGGCGAGGGCCATTCTTCCCCTCTATTTCACTCTGGTGAAATTCCATCTGGAGTGGAGGGCTGCATCCAGCTCTGGGACCCCCAACACAAGAACATGGATCTGTTGGAGACAGTCCAGAGGAGGCCGTGAAGATGGTCAGAGAGTTGGAGCACCTCCACAATGAAAATAAGCAAATACAGCTGGGGCTGTTCAGCCTGGAGAAGACACGGCTTTGGGGAGACCTTACAGCAATTTTCAGTACCTAAAGGGACTGCAAGAAAGATGAAGAAGGACTTTTTAAAAGGACATGCAATGATGGCACAAGGTGTAATGGCTTTAAACTGAAAGAGGGCAGGTTTAAATTAGATATTAATAAGAAATTCTTTACTGTGAGGGGGTGAAACACTGGAATATGTTGCCCAGAGAAGCTGTGGATGCCCTTTCCTTGGAAGTATTCAAGACGATGTTGGATGGGGCAATGGGCAACATGATTTAGTGAAAGGTATTCCTGCCCATGGACTAAAGGACCCTTAAAGGTGCTTTCCAACCCAAACTGTTCTGTTTGGGCAAGGTACCCTTGCCTTTGTCTTCCTCAGTCATCTTGATCTCCTAAGGCAGCAGTTTTACTTCCCATGTTCAACAATCAACACTTCTCCCCAGGCAACAGTGATTTTACAGTTTGTTCCTGTCACTCACACCTCCTGGAAGTTGGTGTTGGAGATGTTTGCAAGGATGTGAGTCCATCTGATGTGCCATGGGCATTTCCAAGAGAAGACGTGCTGAGTACAGGATTCCCAACAGGATTCTCATCACCTGCTGTGTACACTTGGTGGTCACTAACTCTTTTAGTATCTCCTGCCTTGGTTCCTGAGTGAGCACAGGAAGAGGGGGAGCATGAAGTGACAACTAGACATCTGCCTTGCTGTCACTGGTCATCTCTTAAACATGCTAAAGATTTTCCTCTGGTATATGCATTTGCTGTGATTTCCTGTGGGGAAGAGCCTGGCTGGTAGGCTCTGGCTTGACTAATACCAATAGTCAATATGTTTCCAGCCTTTTCAAAGATATTTGACTGGGTCTTGCTGCCTTGTTTATCACTCTGTCAGATTTGTGAGGTCTGGAAGTGCACATGAACAGCTCATTCCATCTTGTGCTGCTGCTAAGGACACCTCAAGCTGCGTTCTCCTTGAGCCTGGGTGTCACTGCACTGGGAACTGCCCTAAATCAATAAGTTTATTCCCCTGTGTTGGTTTTGCATGGCCTGGTTTTTGGTAGTGAGGGGGGCCATGGAGGTGGCCTCTGTGAGAAGCTGCTGGAAGCTTCTATCATGTCCAGCAGAGCCAGTCCCTGATGGTTGTGAACACAGACATGCTGCTGGCCAAAGCTGGACGAACTAAAGATGATGGTAACACCTGTGTGATAATGTATTTAAGAAGAAACTAAAACAAAGGTGGGGGCACAGTTTTCATTCCAGATGGAGAAGAGGAGCAGGTGAGAACATGTGAGGGAAACAACATGGGGACACCAAGGTCAATGGAGAAGAAGGAGAGGAGGTGCTCCCGGTGTTGGAGCTGAGATTCCTCTTCAGGTTGTGGTGAGACCATGGTGAGGCAGCTGTGCCCCTGCAGCCCTTGGGGATCCATCGGGAATGCAGAGATGCATCTGAAGCCCGTGGGGGAGGTGCCCATGCCAGAGTGGGCGGATGCCTGGAGGAGGCTGTGATCCAGTGGGTGGCTTGGTGGAGGGAAAGGGCCTCTGCTTCCAGGCTGGAGCAGGCTGTCCTTGGTGGACTGCACCCCAAGGAAGAGCGACCCATGCTGCAGCAGTTTTGGGAGGACTGGCGCTCGTGACATTGGAACCACACTGGAGAAGTTCACAGAGAATTTTCTCCTGTGGGAGGGACCACATGGTCTCACAGGGAAAAAACCTGTCTCCCTGCACAGGGGAAGAAAACCTTGGGTGACTAACTGACCAAAACCCCCACCCCCTGTCTCCCTGAGCTGTCACTGGGATGGAGGGGCTGGGAGGAAAAACGTGATTTCGAGGGCTTTTTTTACTTCTCATTATCCTGCTCTGATGCTGTTAGTAATAAACTCGCTTTGTACCTCTAAGTTGAGCCTGTTTTGCCTTTGGAGTATTTCCTCCTGTTCCTTATCTCAGCTAATGAAACCTTTGTTACATTTTTCTTTCCTCTGTCCAGATATAGCAGGGCAGGTTGAGTGAGTGTCTTTCATGTGTGCCTGGTGTTTGGCCAGTGTCAAACCATGACATCCCCACAGGTGACATTGCACTGGGAAGGTGCCTCGAAGCACCAGGTCTAGTTTCAGTGCACTTGCCTCTGGGGCCTAGAGAGCATAAACAGGCCAGGGGCTTGGGGAACTCATGATGAGTCTCTGCTCAGCTCTGGGGATGATGGTGTTTACCTAGGTGAACTGCACTCTGACAATCTGTGGGACTGTATGAACAGGAATAGAGCTTTGGGACCACACAAATGACAAAGGCAAGTTTGCTCCAAGGAGGGGAATTCCTTATAGGAATAATCTGTTGCAGCTACGTACATTTGACCGTGTCACATTTATTGTCCCGATGACCTCTACAGATCTCTGAGGCAAAAGTCTCTCCTTACTGCTTTTGTCAGCAATATGCTTTGCAGTTTTTGAGATTTGATTTACCAGAATAGAGAATCTCATTTAAGTTTTGCCATAGTATTGCTCTGTTGAATTCAAAGGTCAAATAAGGCACTGCCAAGAAAACACAGCAGCATAAGGTGGAGGAATACTATGACAAAGAAAACCAATAAAAAAATTAAAGAAGCATCAATAACTTAACTATAAAAAATTCATACAAGTTTTACCATTGGAACCAAGCATGCAGTCAATTCGAATTTGTGAGAACAGTCTGTTTGATTAGGTAATTTGGGCAGTAAAAGGCTGTATCAACAGTATGATCAATGCCTTGACCTACAATCAAATATATGATATTTAGGTGCAGGCCGCAGGTGAGAGTTTGGCCAGGATCACTGCAATTATCAAAATGCTGACCAAGACTTTAGCACTGGTTAAGCCTGAACCACTGTTACTGAACAGTGAAACTGGAAGGAGATAAAATCTTAAAGGAGATATCCATGAAAAAGGCTCAAAATGACTGCACAAAACATTCTCTGGATACACAGAGACATGATGAAAGGGCAATATTTACCTACACTAAACAGTACATAAAACAGACCCACTGTTGCTTGCAAGAGTTTCTTTAATGGCACCAACACAAAATGGATTAGAGACAGTAGCAGAAGCCATAGTATCACAGGGGCATTTTAAAACAAATCACAAAGAATGTGACAAAAGCAGAGGCAGAGATCTAGGTCTCAAATTTCTTGCTGGAGCTGCATCCTTCCTCAGCTTTGCAGGATTTGCATTCTAATAAGAGCGGCCAGGGCGAAGGGGACGTAGGAAGGAAAGCTTGTCATTGAAACTGATTGCCTTGTAATTTGGAAGGTTTTCACGTTCTCGAGCAATGTATTGAATTCCACTTCCATCACTGTGCTCACAGAGCAGCCAGGCACCTCTCTGGACTTTGTGGGAAGACATGATGTCATTGTCATGTCCTGCAGCCAGGTTGGTTGCTTCTCGTACTACCCTGCTCTTCCCTTGATAGTTGGAATGCTCATAGAGAGTGATCTCAGGATTGCTCAGATCTTCAGTGATCATCTGCAGAGAACTGACCTTATTATTCATCTTTGCACTAAAAAAGTTATGGTCTCCCTCCTCAAGTACCAGAAACTGGCCTCTGTAGTTTGAATGCTCATAAAGCACCCATGGCTGGCCAATTATTTTTGCCGAGGAGGCAAGATCATTCCAATCTGCATCTCTTAAATTGGCAATATCAGAGGTGAATTCTTTGGACAAACCCTGGAAATTGGCATGCTCATAAAGGATGAGTCTTCCCATCTCAGTAGGAATTCTAGATTTAAATTTCTTCCTCTAAGGGCTGGATGACAGCCTGCAGAAAAGGAAGACAGAAAACAAGCAATTGTTGTAAGAAGCCTTTTGGACCTTGAAACAAAATGATGGATAACCAGAAAGGAAAAAGAGGAAAAAGATAAATAAAACATTTCGAACAAAGAATAAACATAGAGGTAACTGGAAGAGAGTGAGGTCATGACATGTGTGTGTTGGTTGAGGTGCATATCCAAGATTAAGTTGTAAAATACTCTCACATCCATCTCCCACAACTGTGTATCACTGGCCCCCTCCACCCTCTCCCTTGGTAAGGTTTGTTTCTCCTGCAGCAGCCATCCATCTCCTCATGCCCTGAGATGGGTTCAGTCTCTGCACACGCACACAGCAGACCCTCATGGCTCTGCTGCAGCTCTCAGCCCAACACTAAAGCCTCCTTCCCTTGCCCTGCATTTCACAGCAGTTGCCCAAGAAACCCTTCCAGCCCTCCTGTGCACAGGGTGCCTCTTACCTTGCTGTCAGCTGCAGGGCTGGGGAGAGCTGAGGGCAATTCCTCCAGTGCAGGGCTGTGATTTGGGAAGGGTGTCTCACCTCCCCGCATTTATAGCTTGCACAGAAGTCTCACAAAGCACCCCAGTCAACAGAACTGAAAGTGTCCAATATTACCCCCAGGATCAAAACTCATTATCCGTTATATTTTGCTTTCTATTGTCCTACAACCAGACATCTTCTTCCTCTTGCTCAAAAGTCCATTGAAGCATGAGTGATTTGATGAAACAGGGGAAGTTCAGTTCCTGCTTGTACTTCTCCTCCAGAAGAAAATGGAATGACAGTAATAAAAATGTATCAAAATATTTTGTGACACATGTGCTGTAGATTGTTTCTGCCTGTTGGAGGTTACATTTTTGTTCTTCTGGGAAGAATATTGAATACACAGCCTTAGTCTTACTGAGAGGTTTTTTTGGGAAATATCCAGGTAGCAGAGAGGACATTTAGGTAGTTTTTTTATTTTTTCATTTGCCTTTTGTCCTTAGGATCACAGTATTATTATATGTTGGAAAAGGCCTCCAAGATCCAGCCTTTGACTGAGTGCCACCATGCCCACTAAAGCATACTGCACATGTCACTTCTACTTGTGTTTTTGAACACTTCCAGTGATGATGACTCCACCACTTCCCTGGACAGCCCATTCCAAACATTAACAATGTTTCAATGAAGAAATGTTTTCTAATATCCAGCCAGAACCTCCCCATACACAACTGAAGGCCATTTCCCCTTGTTCCTCCCTTGCCTGGGACAAGGGCTAAACCCCCACCTTACCACAAGCTCCTCTCAGGTACTGTCAAAAGTAAACATATGTGCCCTGAGCCTCCTTTTCCCCAGGATAAACACTCCCAGTTCCCTCAGCTCTTCCTCGTCAGACCTGTGCTCCAGACCCTTCACCAGCCTTGCTGCCCTTCTCTGGACTCACTCCAGCACCTCAATGTCTTTCTGCAGTGAGGGGCCCAAAATGAATACAGCACTCGAGGTGCAGCCTCACCAGTGCTGAGTACAGGGGAGCAATCCCTGCCCTGCTCCTGCTGGTCACACCATTGCTGATCCAGGCCAGGTGCCATGGGCCTTCCTGGCCACCCTGGGAACACTGATGGCTTGTGTTCAGCCCTTTGACGGTGTGGATGCTCCATCCCTCAAAGGGTTCTTTAGGGTCTCTTGCAGCCCAAACCGTTCTCTGATTCTATGACATATGTATTAATGCATTATTTATGCATAGTAATGGATGGGCATGGTACTATAATAGAAAATAATCAAAAGCAGAAAGAAGGTCACAGTGTAGAACCCAGAGACAGAATGTAAATAGAGACCTTCTGGCATGGTGTAAAACCAGCTTCAAAGTCAGAATTTTAAAGCAGAAGCATGGCAAAAGAAACATAGATCTTTGCAGACATTTAATACCATTTTATTTTAAATAGTGCTTTATACTTTCAGTTTTGAAATTAAAGACTTGAAACTGATTAGACACGGTGTTTCTTTCACAAATATGTCAAGCAGCAATCTTGTTATGCTAAATATGATTCTAAACATTTTTCCAATTCAGACTGAAGTAAATGCTTCGGATAATACTTCTTTTTAATGTTTTTTCCTCTATCAATTTTTTCCATTACTGTCCATGTACCACCAATATTGTTTCTCCTCATTTCCCCATCCTCCTTTATTTTTTTCTCCAGATAGGTACAAATTATTTCCTACATCAAGTTATTGGTTCTCCCAGATGCCACACTATGTTCTCAGTGACTCATTCTGGAACTCTACTTTACAGAAAACAGCATCCCATAAACTCCTCTGCTGGGAATTCTGTAGCATGTGTCCCCAGGACTGAGCCTATCCTGTCTCTGGTCACTGTCTTTCAAGGTGCTTTGATCTGACGTGTTCTGCTATGGGGTTCCTGACCAACTTCCAAGCACCAGAAACACCATCTAATGAGTTACTGAATTGAATTCAACTAAAAATAAATTGTAGAATCAACTCTATTTCTGCATTTTTAAATAACTGCTTTTGGTCACTTATCAGTAGGAATTTATTTTACGGGATCATGCTACTGGAGGTTGTGCTTCCTCCCTGCTGGTTTTGGAATTAACTCACAGGCATTCTGGGCAGCATTAAAAAGTCATCACTAGAACACTTCCCAGAGTCAACTCTAAACTCTTGTTGTTTAAAATATTTCTGGTTTGTATTTTCATAAAATGTTTTATGTTGTCACTTTAAATTCTCATGAAAATCTATATTTGCATAAAATGACTTTTTAGCACAAAAGTAACACAGGATGTGAAGATGCATTCTCTGTTTCTTTGACTGGTTTTTAATTTCTGCTTGCATTTGTATTGAAAGACACTATGATGTCCACTCAGAGGAAACAGTCTGCAGCAGTCCAACCACTATCAGAAACAGAAGGTAGGGAAAAATTAGAGAGAACTCTGGGACCTGGGTCACTGGGTGGTTATTTTGGGTCTGAGAGTGTGTCTTCCCCAGGCTTTGAGTGCTGCGTGACACAAGCAGGGTGTGATGCTTTGGCAGGGAAGCCATGGCAGGACTTGCATTAACACCTCAGAGGCAGTGACATGTGACAGAGAGGATGACACAGGACACGGGGTCCACAAGACCAGATTGAAAAGGCAATCTGCACAGGCCTAAACCTCAGTGGATTGTCCAGTTGTGCCTTGGTGTCTCTCCTCCTTCAATTACCAGCTCTACAGGTGTCTCCTTCTGTCTTGCTAAGACACATCTTACACCACAGTATTCCACCATTTGTGATATTTAAAGTGTGGGAAGACAAGCTTGTAAGGATATGTGAAATACAACAGCACCTGCTCTATGCAGTTTATCTGACAAAGACGTTTCTGCTTCATAACCATTCATAATGATGTGATTTGCCAGCAAAGTTTGAGCTGGAGGAGCCAGCAAGTAGGGCATGATATAGACAGGGATTTCATACAGGCAGGAGACTCGTGCTGGGATTCAAGGCACCTAGGACTGCCAGAACACCAATGAGAACAGTGTGTGGTGTGCATGTGGGCTGGCTGCAAGCACCAAGCTGCACTAGCCAGGGACTAGGAGATACCAAAGTGTCCTCTGGTCAGAGAGCCCAGAGCCAGGCATGAGACTGGACAGGCTGACAGCTGTCAGTCCTGTTGGGAGAGCCTGTGCAGGTGCTTGTGGCTGTGGAGAGTGAGGGTGTGCAGGTCTTCCCTAGAGGGCTTCCATGTGGGTGGTCTGCAGAGCAGGAAGGAGACAGGGCTGTTTGTCTTCCATTCCATTCAGTGGGAGTGCTGGTGGTGTCAGCTGTGGGGTGGCTGAGGGCAGCCCCTGGTGTGTGCCAGCGGTGCCGTGGCCGTGGCCGTGTCCTTTCCGTGCCCGGGTGTGTGCCTGTCCCAGGTCACTGAGTCACACAGCCAACCCTGGCATGGGCTGCCCCTTGCAGCCTGGGCAGCAGCACTGGGAAAAGCAGCCCTAGACAGAGAGCCTGCAGCCTGGGCTCCAGCAGCTGAGCAGGAGGACCTCCTGGGGCTGAACTCCATTCATCCTGAGCTATCCCTACACATGGCACTTGAAAAGTGACTTGGCCAGGCAGAAACCCTGGAACTGGGGCTTTTCCCACAGGAGAAACACTCTCATGTAACTTTAGTGTTCTTTTACTTTCAATTCTGATCAACTGTTTGTAGGAACTATCATGGGCTTTCTCAGAAGAGCATCTTGTGTGTTGAAATCCCACAGTTCCGCAGATGCCCTCTCAGTTCTCTTTTTCTTGCACTTGTGCTTGGATGTGATTCTACTTCTACTCCCTGGAAAACAGGAGAACCACATCCTGACTAATTCCCTTCCACAAAACTAAACTCACCAAGAAAGCCCCAGATACTAAACTGAGGAGAGACAAATTGCAGACTGAGGAGAGACAAATTGCAGGGACACATTAATTGCTGAGTGCAAGGATGATGCAAAGGAGCTCATTAGACTCACTGAGTCAATGTCAGTGCTCAGAAATCCTCATCAGGACAGCATCGGTCTGACAAGGCTGAATGGGATGGAAAAGGGACATTGATTATCTTTATTAATAGCAGGATTCTCAGGGGCAATATGGCTCAGGAAATACTGGGATTTGCCTGTCTTGGTCCTTATGTGATGAGCTTGAATGGTCCAGGGAGCCAGGAGGATTGTAGGATTGGTGGGTAATGGAAGTTGGAAGTGACCTTTGGTTGCCATTGGGTCTAGTCAGCTGCTTAATACAGGGACAGCTGTGAGGTGAATTATGGTTGCTGGTGGCTTTATCCAGTCAGGTTTAGAGAACCTCTCAGTATGGAGACTACACAATATTGGAACACAAGCCCTATGAATAACAACTGAGGGAGCTGGGGTTGTTCAGTCTGGAGAAAAGGAGACTCAGAGGTGACCTTATCACTCTACAACTTCCTGAAAGGTGGATGTAGTCAGGTGAAAGTTGTTTTGGTTTTTTTTTTTTCCAGACAGCAACCGGCAGAACAAGAGAACACAATCTTAAGCTGCACCAAGGGAAATTTAGGTTGGGTGTTATGAAAATGTTTTTTATGGAAAGAGTGATAATGGAATGGTCTGCCTGGGGAGATGGTGGAGTCACCAATTCTCAGCCTGTTTAAAAACAGGCTGGATATGGCTCTTGGTGTCATAGCTTAGTTGAGGTGTTAGGGCATGGGTTGGACTCTATGATCTCAAAGTTCTCTCCCAACCTAGTGATTCTGTGAATTCTGTGAGCTCTAGTGGTGTGATTTAAAATTGGCTGACCTCACTGAGAAAATGTTTCTCAACCATGGAAGTGAAAAGGCTAAGAGAGGTGCACATAAAAGGACACCTGGGAAAGAGTCTTATCTGGGAACAGGGTAGCTCTGATGGAAGGTAAGGAAAAAAAATATGACCCTGAGGGGGTTTCAGGACTGACAGAAGAGCCAGAGACTCTGGGGAATCTCCACCCCTGGAGCTGTTCAGAAATTCACTGTTCATCTTTTCACTTGAAGATGGCCATGAGCAACTTGATCATGTTTGAAGGAAGCTCTGCCACAAACAAAACCTTGGACTAGGGAGGTCCCTTCTACACTAAATCTTTCTGTCAGAAATTCTAAGGAAGATTTAAAAGCCTTTGTCAT